TTAAAGTTTGTATGTGAGGCAAAAGTTCGTTTCTAAGGTTTCCGAGGCCTGTGCAATATAAAACTCAATGTCTGGAGCCAGACTATTCCATACAAAATCACAAAAGTTGGTGGTGCTTAGGGGTGATAAATTATAACATTTGTACCAACTTTGGGGGCGTACATCAATAAAATTCAATTGTGAAAGGGTAATTTTTTTGTCAGCGTATGATTGCGTTTCCCTTGAGGAGTATCAGACTTTTGATATGTCATCAGAAAACTGAAGTTTCATTTAATCATTCACAAATGTCTAAAACTCATTTATGTACTCTTGTTCTAGTGATACTCATTATGGCTCGCCATGTGAGCTTGTGCGGCCCCACGGATAGCTTTCAGTTTGTGGAAGTAGTGACCAGGGGCCAACAAAGCGACTTTCAATCGAAAATCGTCAAGCGACGGTGAAGATGTCAACCTTCACTCAAAGTAATTCTGTCTTCTCTTCGAGCAGATCCCCTGCAACATCAACATAACCACTTTTGATCAGTTTTCATGCTGTTTGTTTTCGCTTGACTCGGGTTCATTTTGTCTTTCATTGTCGATTGAAATTGTTTTCGGATTGAAGCACGTGGATGTCAAATTTATCATTGTCGGGTGGTTTGGTTAGTCGTACAGACTGAACTTTTCTACTTTTAAACTACTTTATACGACTGCTAATCCTATTTCTAAGAATCGGTTTAGTCAAGTTAAAATAAAATTCGTCACAGACAACATTGACCAAGCGAATACACGAATCGAAAGGGTTGTTGTAGCCGTACTTTGTTCTGTTGTATGGGACTGCTATTAAAGCTGCGTTCTGAAAACGTCGGGGAGAAATGTTAAGCGATATCTATGCGAGAAGTTCAGGGCAGTTGATGGGTCCTTCAATGACATCGAAGACAAATAGCCGGTGCATAGTTACTCATCTAACAGATAGTGACTCCAATCCTACGAGCTTGCATTGGTCGGAATAAGGAGGAAGATTGGTCGAATCGTTCCAGGGAAGTTGTCTCAGTGCAAAACTTAAAAACCGTTTCTGTAATCGTTCTATAATTAGAACATGAGTTACATTATAAGGAGACCAAACCGGAGCTGCGTACTCCAGAATCCTACGAACCAACGAGCAGTGAAACGTTTTTAAAACGTGGATGTCGGTGAACTCAGAACCCAGCACAGAGAAAAGCTTTGGCAGTCGTAAAGTTCGTTGTGTTCGTTGAGGCTATTTCAACGGCCGAAGGTAATAATTTTACACTTCTTGTTATGCTGTTATTGCCACACCATACCAGCATAGTACCTATATCTTCTTGTAGGGCAGTACAATGCAGAAGAGAAGCTATGGCACGATAGATTTTTAGGGCATCAGCGAATGTAAGCTTAAACGAGGAACGTAGCAAACACAGGTCAATGATAAAAATGTTGAATATTAGTGGTCCCAGAACGCTTCCTTGGAGTACACCAGACGTGATGTTGATAGTGCGGGCTCGCGCCGAGTTGACCGTAACATATGCGGTACGATCGCATAAGTACGAAGATATCCACTCTGTTATTCAATCTTAAAGAGCTATGTGCCGTAACTTTACGAAATTCCAGAAGCACGACGGGTTTTGTTTTACACTGTCCTGGATCCTGATTAAGTAGTTATCATAGGTGGATAATTGAATTGATTTGTACTGCAGCTCTACTTCGTGAAGATAGCCACGGTCGTTTTCAGACTACGAAAGGGAAAAACGGTGACGTGCTTTTCTTAGGATGTTACTATGTCGTAGCTCGGAGGTCCACCATGGCTTACTGGAAACTGAATTGAATGGTCTGGTTAGCGAGTTTACCCATCAATATAAGTATTTTTGAAATCTGGGTGACGTCTAGAGAATAGAAATTGATGACCGACGCCATTTTGAAGTCCAGAAAAAGTGGGAAATTCTGACGCCCATCAAGTATTTGTGGAATCGTGGTAACGTCTAATGATCGATAATCGATACGCAACGCCATTTTACAATCCAAGATGACGGATTCCAGTGTAAAAAAATGGGAAATACTGTCACATATCCATTAAAAAAGATATGTTATTTAAAAGAGGCTGACAATTTATATCTGACGCCAATTTTAAAATCCAAGGTGGTGGCTTCCAGTGGCAGAAAAAGTGGGAACTACTGTCAAATACCAATCAATATAGGTATTTTTTTAATCGGGGCTACGTCTAGAGGCTGGAAATCGATATCCGACGACATTTTGAAATTCAAGATGGCCTCCGATTTAAAAAAAAAAAGTGGGAAATGCTGATACCGACCAATCAATGTGGGTATTTTTGGTATCAGAGTGATGTATAGGGATAGAAAATTAATACGCTATGTCATTTTGAAATCCAAGATGGTGGTTGTCAGTTTAAGAAAAAAGTGAGAAATACTGTCAAATACTTATTAAGATAGGTTATTTTGGAATCGGGATGATGTCAGAAAAATGAAAATCGGTATCTGACGCTGAACGGCGTGGGCCAGTTACCTTCGATGGACAAGCTCAGCTGCGATTCCAGCCCCGGGTATCGATGGTGATAAAGTTGCTGTGAGGTGGAACACGATGTTCACGATGAACAGGGTTGTTCTGTCCGTCAAACACTAATTATATGAACTCGCCGTAGGTAGTCCGGTGCTTCGTTGATGCGATGATTTTCTCCGTCGATATCTGAGAGTGAGTGATATTTTCACCGCTCTTATCACTAGTCAAGAGAGAACTGATTCGATCGTGCAGTGCTAGATCGACGTATCGGTGTGTGGTTCTTGTGCTGGGTTGGTGCTAGTCGCGTGGGATGCCATGGTTGTAGTCGGATGGGTCACACTCCTCGGCAGACGCCATTTTGAAATCCAAGATGGCGACTTCCGATTTCATAAAAACTGGGAAATACTGTCAATATTCAATATCGACTTTTGGCACCTATACGTCGTCCTGCTGTTTAAATATACTTTAACTAATAAGTTTTTTTATTTACTTCATGGGTGAAGTTAACGCTTTACATAGTTGAAGATGCTTAACGTCAAATATAAGACTTCATTCATTCCTTTATTTAACGTGTGCCAAGCACCGACGGACATCGATTGCCATCCATTGACGGTAACCAAATGTGCAGGAAGGCAGCTTCCACACCTGTTTAGGATATCGCTCCCATTCAAACACACATGGGCCGGGACCAACGGCTTTACTTCCCTACCGAAGGAATACGTGACTACACCCAACCGGGGGATGTAAGATTCGCTGTGGGATTCATCATCAGAGGATGTTAGTGGAGACTGCATGAACCGAGGATGCGATATACCTAGCTGCGGTCCAATGCAAGAAAATTGGAGACCGAAAAATTTAGAGTGTATTAGTGTGGTAAATTAGTTATGTCGAAAAAAATAGGACTCAGATTGCCGGACTGGACTCGAAACCACGAACGTTGCGATTATCAGACCTCTGCTTTCTCCACTGCTTGCTCCATGCTCCTGAATATGGATAGCCTAAAAGCAAAGATGAAGCGCTCATTTTCTCGCATACTTGACTTCGTATGCTTTTTCTGCTGGAGAGATTCGAGGCAAGTGTGTGCGTCGTTCTACAAGCTTACTGGTATAGTCGAAAGCGTAGATGGAACACGAAATAAAAAAGACAAAAAACCATTACATCGCCTGCATGTTCAATTTCTAACATTCGTTGCGATGTTCATGAACAGATGTATGCCTCACCAGAAATTTTTCAGACGACCTCGGCTGGGATTGAACGCAGACCCATTGGGGTGAGAAAACAGTCACGTTTACCACTACACCACCGCCAAATATCAGACTTAAAGTTGTCAATTTATACGATAGGAGATGAAAGCATAGAGTTGATAATTCCGGTAGAGTACGACAGTGTGAAAATTTTATAAGCAAAGTAAATTTTTTAGGAAGGTACGAATCAGGTTGATCATCTCCTTCACCAAACTCCCCAGTTAAGGGGGACGGTGAGGGGTATCTCCCCCCTCAAAATTGTCATTTACTCGCTTCGTAATTCTAAGTAATCCATTTGGATTTTTCCTTTACATCATATTGTAACAGTACCAATGCCATATATATAACTGCTAAAACTACACATCCCAGTATAAGAATGTGTGTAGAGATGTGATCAAACCAAAGACCCTTGAATCTTCAGATGGTTTTCTGAAAGGGTCTGGAGTATAAATTATGCAGGCATAAAGGTAGTTTAAGTGTGGATGAATCTTGAAGATCCAACTTTAAATGATAATCTACATCCCGGAGATTGAAAGAATTGTAATTTCAACATGTTTAATTTAAATTTTTAAATTAATTTGCCTTCAATATATAGTAAACCATATTGATACCTCAATTTAATTACTTTGCCTCTATTAGCTGTTTTGAAATTAATTGTCGAAATTCGACCCCATTTCCATCCTCCAACTATTTTCAGAGTTATGTGACGATTATAAAACCCCTTAATATTTGCTCGTTCACCGAAAAACCAAAACCTCGTATGTCCCTAGTAACTCTCACTTTCGATGCCCATCTCAAACCGCTATCGCTCGAGTCGGAACGTGTGGTCTAGAATGTTAATAGTTTACCTGTGTCCAACAATGCGCGAAGAGCGGTGAAATCCATTTCCAATCGCACATACCTCCATGCGAACCACGTAGCTTCCGCTATGTGGATCTGATTTCCCCGCTTATCAACACTTCAGGCCAACGACGACGACGACGACGCCGATGAGAGTCGCAATATGAGGACAACGTAAAAATTTCAACTCTTCGTAACCATAAATGTCAACGGCAAGTGCTCTTTTCCTTCGTTATTTTTGTTTTGGCATGGAACATAATCGTTGAGGTGGTTGAAAAATGACGCTTCGCTCACACCACCAAAGCCGCCACCCCCAATCCTACGAATATGCCCAATCCTACGATCTGTCGTAATCAAGAGCTCGTGGGTTGGTCCCCCTCGGAGGCGCGATATAAAATCCAATGTAATGAATATCAAACAATTCACATTGATTTGACTAATCGTTCAGAGCACACATCAACTGGACAGTGCAGCGGTGGTGTCTTGGTTTTGTTTTTCCAGTTAGTTAGTTAGTTGGTTTGAGATGCGCTCGTTCGTGGTTTTGATCCTTTCGGCAGCCGTCATGGGGATGGCTGCCGCCCAGCAGACCCGATCAGCGGCCGATGTTGCCGTTGAAATCTACAAGACCTGCTTGGCCGATGTAAACATGAAGTGTGTCAAATCGAAGGCGCTTTCCTGGTTGACCACGGTAGCCGAACAGGACGAGATTAAAATTACCAACGCCTTGACCATTATTCGAACTGGAACTGATGATGAGGAAGCTCCGGAGGTCAAAGATCAGCAACGAAGCAACAAGGTTGTTCACCTGCTGAACAAGATCGATGGCTTCCTCTCGACCCACGCTCTGAAGATGGGAGTTCCGGAGGTCCTGCAATCCGAGGAAGCCCGTGCTTACATCCCCGACTCCCTAATGAGGGGAGGTCTCGCCGAAGAATTGGTGGTTCCACTGGCAGAAGGAAATGTTGCTGAAGGTGAGTGTTATTGATAGTTGTTTGTGATTGTTTTAATGCAAGTGCCCTCTCCTATATCGTAGGCCGTGGCTTTGTGAAGAAAGTCATGATTCCCTTCCTGCTCGGAATCAAGTTCAAAACGACCGTTCTGGTTCCATTGGCTTTGGCTCTGATCGCACTGAAGACCTGGAAGGCCATGACCCTGGGTCTGCTGTCGATGGTCCTGTCCGCCGCGATGGTCATCTTCAAGTTCGCCAAGCCAAAGATCGTCAACTACGAGGTGGTCCACTATCCACCACCGCACAGCCACCACGTGGACCACCACATCGATCATCACCACATTTCGCACCCACACGTTCACTGGGAAGCTCCGGCTGCCTGGAAGAAACGATCACTCGATGCCGCCCAGGAGCAGGCCTACGCTGCTCATCTGTAGGATGAGATGATCCGTTGGAAGAACTTTGTGTGTGTGCATGAGTCAGAAGACGAATCCAAAGCTGTAAATTATTTATTTATGAACGAGCGTTGAACCGGACGAATAAATTATTTATTTTTGTACGAAATCGAGCTCTGGGTGTTTCATTGTGAGATGGGTTTTGGAATAACCTGTAGTGGGGGTGGGGGTTTATTGAGCACCCTAAGGAGATTTATGCTGATTATGGGACAAATAGGTGTTTACTGAAAATCTCTTTAGGCATAATGTTAGTTTAATTTATGATATTTGAACTGAAATCCTAGAAGATTTTTCGTATTCTCAACAATCTAAGCAGCGCACTGTGGTCCAAAACGGCAAAAAGTGGAAATTTTTTCCTAGAGCCTAGCCTTTACATTTAAGCCATATAGTGTCTTCGGAAAAAAAAATGTTTGTATGAATATCTTCCATAGTATAAAACTGTCAAAAATTAGTCATGTCTTGATGTGCAAAAAAAAATATTTTTTCTTTGAGGATATAGGGGAACGATGTCTTCAGCAAAGTTGTAGACAATGTAAAAACAAGCAATTTCACTGAAAACATCAAAGATCGAAATCCTGTATTTTCACAGTTATGGAGCTTATTCTATGAAAGTTCCCTTATATTTAGTATTTCATACTTAAGTTCTTTAAATTTAATTTTTCAAGTATTCAATATTCTAGACAAATATTAAGACAATCAATACACACGTTTTTGCTCAAGATTACGAATCGTTATTCCTTGTAAAGTTATTGCAAATTTTACATTTATTTTTTCCATTATTTCATAAGCTTTTAGGAGAGAATGGGGCAATTGAGAACACAAAACCTACATACTATAACTTTTCAAGGAAATATTGTAGAGACTTACGGTCTTCTACAAAAACATGTGTTTTTACTGTTTTTATAATTTTTTCGAACATTATATACTTTAAATATAGAAGACTAAAACATTATGTTTAAAAAACCTAAAAAGTGTGAAAAATATATGAAAAACCATAAAATAATAAGGTAATTTTTAATTAATACTCAAATTTGGGAAGAGAGGGACAAATGAAACCTTCTCAATTTTATAGTACTTGAGCTAAGCTTTAAGAAAATAAGTTGGTTTTGTGTCCTTGCTTGCTCCATTCTCTCCTAAAAGCTTATGAAATAATGGAAAAATAAAGATAAAATTTGCATTAACTTTACAAGGAATAATTATAACGATTCGTAATCTTAAGCAAAAACGTGTGTATTGATTGTTTTAATAATTGTCTAGAAAATTGTGTACTTGAAAAATTAAATTTAAAGAAGTTAAATATAAAATACTAAATATAAAGGAACTTCCATAGAAAAAAAGCTCCATAACTCTGAAAGTACAGAAATTAGAATTTTGACGACTTGAGTAAAGTTACTTGTTTTTACATTGTCTACAACTTTGGTTGAGACGTCGTTCCCCTAAATTCACAAAAAAAAAAACAAGTTATTTTTTTGCATAGAAAGACATGACTAATCTTGGAAGGTTTTATATTATGGAAAATATTCACACGAACATTTTTTCTTAAGATACTATATGGCTAAAATGTAAAGGCTAGGCTCTAGAATAAAAGTTCCACTTTTTGCCGTTTTGGACCACAGTGCAGCGTCCGCAATTTTATTAGCAATATCTTTGAGTCACACACACATACGACATGTTAGCTCATTTACATTTATCTGCTGCTTGCATCCATTGTAATCGACAGAATTTTCAAAAACTGTTTGAAAACACTTTTACAACGCTCCCAGCTTCTCAGGTAAGAGTGAGTATTGTTAATCAGCTGTTCTATTATTATTGGCAATTCGAAACCAGTCGTATTTTTTAGCATGTATGTTTCATTTGAAGAAAAACCTGGCATAACAGGTTTGCTCAGTCAAAAAATGTGATCAGATTGAAACTGAAAGACTAAGGAATCGTTTGAATACATTAAGCGACGTGTTTTGATGGGTGCCGAAACCATCACTTACCTTAGACTTAACTTAGAAATATTGTATTCTATTTATTTAAATTTATCAAGACTCAAATGCGCCCAAACCATCACTCTTTGGTATAGGGTAACCAACTTGAATTGGACCCCTACATATTTTGGACCCTTTTCATATATTTTCCTCGCTTACTGTCTAGTTTCTTCAAATTCATCTGGGTTGATGTTGTAATTACATTCTTTCAATTACTTGCTATGTCTCAAGATCATTAGTTCACCTCAAATTGCTTACAATTGCTCAATTTATGCAGTTTGAGAAAATGTTATCGAAAAAGTTTCATGTTTCGACGTTTGTCAAGAGGAATCGGCGTTAGTGTACTTGTTTTAAATTTGGTCTAAAATATACAATTCAATGATTTTTTTTATGAAATCAGTTTATCTGACTTTGGAAGATGTATTTCACGTGTTTATAAAGATTTCACCTTAAGATTTTACTTAAAAAGTATTAAATAAAAAGTGTCCAAAAAAGATCGTAAAAAATGTTACCAACTTACTTTGGACACTTATCAAATGAGAATCATCAGAAGAGCGACAAAAAAAATCCGGTTGGTCGATCGTGCTATTATCTCAGATTTCTGATTAAATTGGTAAGTAAATCAATCAAAATTATATGAATTCATTGTTTTTAAATATATTTCTTGTTTATCAGGCAATTCAAAATGGGAAAAACGGCAAAACACGTAGAGTGGTCCACTCTGAGTTTTCCTAGTTCCTAGTTTTCCACAAAAGTTTTCCTATCTCCCAAACGCATTTAACTAAGGGGCTGTTCATAAACTACGTAGACGCTTTAGGGGGGTGGGAGCGCTTGGCAGATGTCTACGGTCCATACAATTTTTTAAATTTTGTGTTTGAGACTGTCTTCTACGGAAGGGGGGTTGAAATCTCTCAAAAACCGTCTACGTAGTTTATGAACAGCCCATACAAAAAATAATATGGACTGCAAGCATAGAGTCAGGTCTCCGTATTAAGATTTACTTCTGAATGATTTTTTTTTTATGGTATAATCAGTTGTTTCCTTATGTTATATTATATTTCCTCCGTTACTCGCGCCAACTTTTGTAACACGTGTACTCACGCGTTGTACTTTGTACAAGAGTGTGAGTTTTCCATTTCCATTTTGCAGCCGAGCTACCAATCGATCTGAAATCAACGAGTATTCCTCAAAAAACTTGCTTTTAACTAAACAAGCTAAATATTTATTACAGTTAACCCCCAAAATATGCAGATAATAGAGAAAATGTAAATGGAAACCGCGTAAATGGTGTCCATACTACGAGGGTTCTGACTTAATTGGTTAAACATGGAATATCTCGAGATCCTGACCAGATAGAAAGTTACTGTCTTTGCCAAAGTAGTTCTAGAGATCATAACCTTTTTGCTGGTGGACAGTAGTTCAAAATTTACTCACTACATAGCGCTAGTATACATGTGAAGTTCTCGCATGTGATATATCTCGAAATCCTGACCAGATAGAAAGTTACTGTCTTCGAAAAAGTTGTTCAGAAGTTCAAAGCCTATGGTTCAGAATTTTTTCACTATATGGTGCTAGTATATACGTGAAATTCTCATATAAAATATCTCGAAATCCTGATCATATAAAAAGTTACTGTCTTCGGCAAAGTTGTTCAGGAAGTCAAGGCCTTTTTGCTTGTGGACTTAAGTTCAGAGTTTTCTCACTTTGCAACGCTAGTATACATGAGGAATTCTCGCATACAAAATATCTCTAGATCCTGACCCGACAGAAAGTTACTGTCTTCGGCAAAGTTGTTCAGGATGTTAGGATCTTTTCGTTGGTGTACAGTAATTCAGAAATTTCCCTTTACGTGGCACTAGTATGCGGGTCATTCAGAGATATTTTATATGCAAGGATTTCACGTGTCTTTCAACGTCACCTAGTGAGAAAATTATGTACTTTCCACCAACGATAGGGTTTGATCTCCTGGACAACTTTGCCGATTACAGTACATTTTTAGCAGGTCTTGAGATATATCATATGCGAGAATTGCACGTATATACTAGTACCATGAAGTGAAATATTCTGAACTACCGTCCACTAGCCAAAATGCCTTGATCCCCTGAACAACTTTGCCCAAGACAGTAACATTCTATCTTGTCATGCTTTCTAGATATTTTATATGAGAGAATTTAACGTGTATACTAGAACTACATAGTGAGAAAATTCTGAAATATTCTACACCAAGCAATAGGCTTTGACCTCCTGAACAACTTTTTCAAAGACAGTAACTTTCTATTTGGTCAGGATCTCGAGATATATCATATGCGAGAAGTGTATATGTATACAAACGCCACGTGGTGAGAAAATTCTGAACTACTGTCTACCAGTCGAAAAGTCTTGACCCCCTGAACAAGTTTGCCCAGTACAGTAACTTTCTAGCTGGTCAAGAACTCGAGCTATTGTATATGCGAGAATTACACATATATACTAGCGCCTCGTAGTGTGAAATTTCTGAACAACTCCACCAACGAAAAGAGCTTGACTTCCTGAACAACTTTGCTGAAGGCATTTACTTTCTATCTGGTCAGGATCTAGAGATATTTTATACACGAGAATTTCACATGTATACTAGCACCACGAAGTGAGATAATTCTGAACTATTGTACACTAAAAAATAGGATTTGACCTCCTGAACAACTTTGCCGAAGACAGTAACTTTCTATCTGGTCAGGATCTCGAGATATTCCATGTTGTAACCAATTAAGTCAATCCCACGTAGTAAAGGGTGATACGGTCAAAATTTGGTCAATATCAACTTGACGTATTTCTTTCAATTTTGCATTTAAAAAACCTGAATACCCCTCATTTTGAAGGTGTGTGTGTGTAGAATGTTGCTCTTATTTTGATTTTGGAATTCACTCTTCAGTTGTCAAAATGCCGTCCAAGCAAGAAGAGCAGCGTATCAAAATTTTGCTCGCGCATCGCGAAAATCCGAGCTACTCGCACGCAAAGTTGGCAAAATCGCTAAAAGTTGCCAAATCAACCGTTACAAATGTAATTAAAGTGTTTGGGGAACGTTTGTCGACAGCCAGGAAGTCTGGATCGGGGGGAAATCGAAAACCGGAAGCCGCTGAGACGACAAAGAGAGTTGCCG